CCATATGAACAGGATCCTTCCATCTTTTTCTCGGACTGGGACCTGTTCATATATGTTCTTGGCAGATGATCCAGAAGTGGTTTGCCATTGCCTTCTTCTGTTTGTGAATGGAGTAATTGTTGGGATGCCACGGAGGAAAACTCCGTGTTGCCTAGACCACGGCCTTGCCCAACACAAGTTATAAATTCGGGCACCGCCGGGAATCGAACCAGAGGCCCCAGGATTACAAGGCCAGCGTTCTAACCGCTAGACCACCGTCGCTACAATCCATTAGGTCGTCATATTCTACGGTTTCCTGTGGTGAAATATCTTTATTGACCAAGCTGTTTTATATTATCAACCGATATTGCGAAAGTCATAAAATGGTTTAAAGTACAAGTTGAGTGCAATTGTGCCTCATTACACAAAATGTGAAGTATGTAAAAGCTTCATACCTTGAGCACGCTCTGCTGAAGACCCTGTCTGTCCCGTGTCACTTGTATGTGGGAAGCCAGTGGATGTCCGCCCCTCGCCCGCCCATCCAGCTCTGCTAGAGCACTCTGCACCTTGTATCTCATTGCCTCCAGGTAAGTAAGCATCGACCGCATCTGTCATAATAACCAAGGGGCAAAGTTAAGTGTGAAACTATTACGAGGCAATGTGGCATGACATTTTTCAGCTCGGAGCGCATGACGTCTGACAAAGACTACTGGAGAGACAACCTTGAGGCTAAGATATAAGGTGAGGCGAATTGGCATCAAGAAAATATTTGAACATTGGGATTTTCTTCCATAAATACACGATACATCATACAATCACTAGATTTGTAGAACTTCTTAAAAATGAGAAAATTACAATCTGTACTGACGGAGAAACAGACTCTAAAAAAAGAAATTGTGATTTTTGATGGCATTTACACGTGATATTCGACATTCCTTTCTTCAATATGTCATAAGTTTATTTTTAACTAAATACTTTAAAAACATATCCTCCATCATAAATTTGCATTTCTGTAAATATTATTAATGAAGAAGTAAGAAAGCAAAGGTGTGACATAATTTCTGCAGAAATTATAATAAAGCAGACAAGAATATTTTAAAATGACATTACGGCTTCTATCTCCTCCTTTCTCCTCTGTGACTCACACACTCACATGATGCAATTTTTCTGTGACGTTCTGCTGTGAGTCTTCGGCACCAAACGTAGGTGTCTGCTGGAGGGCACGTGCCAAGTTCTCGACGCCCTGCTTGCCTCGTCGCTCTCGGTCCAAGTCTTGTCGTATCAACTGCAGTAACTTCACCAGTGCCTGCAAATCATTCCAACATCAAGAGTAGCTTGTCACCCTCATGATGGAGGCAGCAAGGACCTCTGAAACGTCGGTGAACTTATACCAGTGAGCCGGCGTAGCTCAGGCGGTATAGTGACTGGCTACGGACTGGACGACCGGGGTTCGATCCCCGACGGGGGCAGAGGATTTTTCCTCTAGCCTCTGCGTCCAGACCGGCTCTGGGGCCCACCCAGCCTCCTCTGCAATGGGTACCAGGGGTCTTTTCCTGGGGGTAAAGCACGGCCAGGACGTGATGCTGACCACTCACCCCCCATCTAGTGCCAAGGTTAAGAATTAATAGGAGCTGTACCTCCTCTCACCCCAAGCGCCTGTATGGCACGTAGTGGGACAAACTTTACTTTATGGCTCAGTACAGCTGTAAGTTTCATCCTGAAATACGTACCTGCCGTCTGCGGTCCCTGTTCATGGCGAGAGTAATGTGTTCCGCATAGAAATCAGGCAGGAGCTGCTCAGGAATGGGCTGACCTGTGCCTTTGATGGACACAACTGTCTGGATGTCACGTGCCACATCGCAACACTCTATTGGTTCCCGCAGTCGCTCCACACTCTGTAACGCAAACTCATTATGAGATATGAGGTATTTACAGCTGTAAAAGGGTGGATTGCGGTCTTTGGGGTAATGATATTGTGTAGTCTAAGCGTAGAAGACTACAGATAACATTAATTCACAATGGAAATAGCCACAGAGAAATTTGTCTATCCTGCCTTCGCATATCGACTTATGCTCCACGACTAAGAACTAGCATAAGTTGGCAAGGATTATACAGGATAAATAAGCTGTAGAAAGATCTTAAAATGTCTACTCCCATTCAAGCTTTGCAGTCTTTATGGTGAGGTTAATAAGAAATATACAGCAATAATTATACTAGCACTATTCCTAAAAAGAAAGGTGAAAATACTTTGAGGTTATGTACAACAGTTCTAGCATATTTTTAACAGTCTTCTTTCGCATTTTGAAGAAAAAAATACCAGTATTATGCAAGAAAGCACTGAATTCAGTCCAATCCTATGCTTAGTTTCCACTAATATCGATTTTTAACTACATTAAAATCACCAAATTTCGAAGTTTTCGCACCAGTCATGTACCTATGAGAAATAGTTCGTACAAAATCCGTACGAACAGTTTCCATACAAAATACTCATTTCGTAACTTTGAAACGGTTTTGATATGTGTTCTTTCCTCAAAATAAAAAAAAACCAAGCTAATAAACCTTGATATTTATGGCTCTTATTTTAATTATGACGACTTTTTCCACATCCTATTGTCATCTGACTGTCTTATGGATCCATGGAATGTAAATAAATTATTATATTATATTATTATTTAGAAGTAGATATGCTTATAACAGTTTTTAAGCAAGTTCCAAAGGAAAAAGTTACAAAAATGTAGCAATTAGCTTGAAGATTTTTATCTTCATAATCAACCGCTGTGAAAACCTCAAATCTTGAAGCTATTAGCTTATCTGTTCATATGCAGGAACTCAAGTGTCACTGAACATATTTTTACAAAATTTGATACTGGAGAGTCTGGAGACTCTCGCTGAAATGCAACGACAATTACAGGCACTTTCATAAAGGCCTAGATGTTGAAAGTGACTTGGTAGGGAATTCGCACACCGGAATGTCCTCCAGGGGAATCCCGAGTCAGAGGAAATTTGTTGAGCAGTATCGCACACAGCGCATAGAGATGAATGAACAGACAGACAGGCTCTCCCAAGTATGAGTTAGTCTTATGCATGTAATTCAAAGAAAATTTTTTTGAGAAGTCTTCGATCTTAATCGATGTTTGTTACTCCTGATTAACGACAGAGGACTGGCAACGAAATGCCTCACCTGAACAACTTTTGGTCCCATTTCCTGAACGTGATTGAGGTAACAGAATGCCAGGTCTTTCAGTTGCTGCAGGCGCTGTTCCTCCAGTGCCTGAAAGCAGTGACTGCCGCGGATCACGGCCGTCTCCCACTCCAACCTGCAACACGCGACCGTCATCAGACACCAGGTATCAACCCAGTCTGAGCGCTTCGCGCGCGCACGGGTTGTCACTTACCTCGCTCGTTCCGCCCTCATGCTGAACGTGTAGTACTCCACGTCCGCCTTCTTCACGGCCTCCTCTGCTTTCCGACGTTTCGACTCCAGCTGAAAACGAGAGACCCCTAGCTTCAATACTCGGTTGATTGTATACTTGGCTTGTCAAAGAACAGCCCACCCTAAGGTTCATCACCGGTTCACAAAAGCCCACCACCAGACTCTGTAATGAGCTGGATGACAGTCTTCTTCTGGGGCATTTCCCCATGTAATTTACTGATATTTCAGAGGTGATCGCAGCCTCCAACATCAGGACAATGATTGAGGCACCAAGCACCTCAGAAGCAACTCCAGTTTCATTCTCAATTTATTTTTAATGTAGTTTGATTAAATGACAAATACTGTAGCTGTAATTTTAAGTAATAATATATAATTTATTTAAATTTGCAGTAAGTGAAGTTTTGAACATGCATTTTAATTAAAAAATAATTTTGTTGTGCCACGTTACAAAGCCTGGGGTGCCCCATCTTGGGGATATTTCCTAATTCCAGTATCATATTCTTTTCACTTTGTTCTGTTACGTAATGTCAGGATGTAGAACACCTACTGCCATTTCTTCCTCCCAGAAGTCCAAGATCCAGGCCGTGGTGACGAAATTTTGAAGTTTTGTTTAAATAATGACCAAATGAGAGACTCAAGTCAAGTTCATTCATATCCGGAAAAACCAGCGTCGACGCATTCGAAGGTAAACATTACAGGAAGACCCAGGGGAGCTGTAATATCGTTCCACCTTCCCCGTCATTATTTCAGATCTCTTTTTGCTCAGGTAGCAGCTTACCTTGGTGGTCTCCTTGTCCTTTGCACCTTGCTGCTGCCCTCCTGTCCCGACTAGATGGAGGTGTGTCGTGGATGAGGCACGCCCTAACCTCACATCCAACATGGCATCCTGCAACTTCTCGTTCTCCCGTGAACACAGGAAGCTCTGTTTCTTGCTTTTACTCTCTGCTGACCGCCATTCACTCAGACTCTTTCCTGTCTTGTCCACGGCCGACTCGACTGACTTCCGGATCCGGTGCTGAGCTTCCACCAATTGCCGCAATGGTTTCACCACCTCCTCGCTCAGCGCCGACGCAAATGCCCTGCAATCAGACCTCAGCCTCTTCATGGTTATGTCCCAAGAGTGTGCGGTTGAAATGTGGTAGAAAAGTGGTTATGGTTGTGGTTGAGGGAAAATTATAACTCTTTCATCTTTTTATTGTAATACATGTATAAATTACAATGAAACTCAGCTGTTAGTTTTCAAAAGCAACAAATCCATTAGAATAAGCACATCAACCGGTTATTGTTTAAAATACAATGTTCTCAAATTCCAGGTAGCGTTTCATTCACAGGAATGGTTTTAACAGGGGAAACACGTCGTAATGTGTTTTACACATGCCTCAAGAGATTATCGTGTTGGTTGCTTGGTGTTCAGTGAATTAATGAAGCAGAAATTCTCAAAACTTCCCCAGGATTGAACCTACAAGCATCTGTCGTGAAACCGAGCTCCTTCCTTACCTGTGAATCTCACTCTGTACCTCCATCTGCGCGCCTGCGCGCTGCCAAGCCTGGTTCACGGTTCCCACCGAGTCCTTGGAGGCCTTCAACAGCTTTCCGGACAGTTTGCTCAGGCTCTTGGCGTACTGGGACTCTGCCTCTGATCTGTGACACCAGAGACATCGGGTTGAAGACATTAAGCAGCACACTGTCGGTTCGTTAGCGAGTCTCAACGCTCGGGGCGAGCGACGTGTCTCGATTTTCTCCTTTCTCATTCGGGGGACGGGGGCGTCTCGCTTTGTTTAACGCATTCATTTGAATTTCACTATCAATTACGAAAAACCACATTCCCACCCCTTCCTATTCTAATCTAAATCCTAAACAATCTGAATTAATAAAAAAAATATTTTAACAATCTGCGAAAAAGAATTTATATACATAACGCGTAGCTCAGTCGGTATAGTGACTGGCTGTGGACTGGACGACCTGGGTTCGATCCCCGACGGGGGCTGAGGATTTTTTTTTTTTCCTCTATCCCCTGCGTCCAGACCGGCTCTGGGGCCCACCCAGCCTCCTGTCCAATGGGTACCGGGTTCTTTCCCTGGCGAGGCGTGATACTGACCACTCAGACCCATCTAGTGCCGAGGTCAGGAATGAAAAGCTATACTTCCTCTCCGCCCAAGCGCCTACTTGGCGTATAATGAGACAGCTTTATTAACTTGCCTTTTTAAAGTGAAATAATTTGTGAATTATATAAATGGGAGTAATTTTCTTACTGAATAAAAGTCATCGCGGAAAGGGTTGACTGACAGGTTGCAGGTCGTTATGCAACCTCGTTTGCCGATGTCCGGCGGAGCGGGTCAGCGAACGGTAAATCGGCGCGAGTGGCGAATGTTGACGATCCTTTAAATTAGTATTTCAATCCCGTCCCTACTTTCATATAAACGCTCTGCTCAAGGGGTCGGAAAGTCACAGCTCACGCGCCACACGTGGCCCCTCCGCCTCACAAAAAGCACAGTTACATCTGTCATCAAAATTGATACAATGGGAGGACCAGGCATTCTTTGATTGTTCAGAGACGCCTTTTTAAATTCGACAATTTGTACAGCGAAGATGGCTGCCTTCTGTGTTTCTTCTCCAGGACAAATACCCTGAGGTTGGAGGCAGCAAACACCTCTGAAACGTCGGTAAACTTGTACCAGACTGCACGGCGCAACGACCCTAAAGACAATGCCTCAGCGCCTTGAGAACCTGAAGTCTCATGTTGGACAGTGTCAGATGGTAGGATGACGACAGAGGGAAGTGGTCGTGGCTTATTTAAGACCCTGGAACCAGGTCTGCCTATGGTTGTATAGGAAAACTATGAACAACATTAGTCATGACGACTAATCTCCGGGCCAATATTCGAACCCGGGACCTTCCAGTTCAAAGAAAGCAAGAAATGGCATGACCTGGACAGTGACAGTCTATCGCCTGCACGATTTTAATTACCTTTCCTGCAGAATGGAGCTGAGGTCCTTACAGAAATCTCCGCCCTGCTTAATGTAACGACGTAGCTCTTCAAACCCGTTCTGCCCCTGAAACATTCAACACATTCAGTATTTTAATGCGTGATTCCTTATGGATGAGATAAAGCTCTGCGAAATATATAAATTTATTTGTCAATTATCAGTTCAATTTATAAACACTTGGATCTTCGTATCTTGTAAAAATAAAAGCAAGTCTGTGTACAGCATACAGAAAAATATTCCGTCTTTTCAAACCATTTCCCTTGTGTATGTGTGTGAATTACAGTTGTCCAATAACCTTTTATACACTAATAACATCATGACACTATTATGTTAAACGAAAACCAGGTGCTTAACCACCAAATACTTCTGGTAAGTGAGAGTTGCGTTCAACTTTATCAGCGAATGCAATATAAAATGGATTGTGTCAGATTGGGTCAGAGACATGTAACTGAGAATCAGAGAGAATTTTCATTACTCAAATATAAATTAAACAGAAATAAAAAAAAAACAGAACTTCGAATTCGGAAAACTAGTTCAGTTCCCTTACCATTCATATTCTCTCATAAAAATTACTCTTCAACATTCCATTTCGCGCTCACAGCGAAATTTAAAAGATATTTATTGACTCTACTGCTCTCTGAACATCTACCACACAACTACATAAAATCTAACCATATCACTGTGCAAATTTTATCAATTAAAATCGATTATTCTGACCCTCCGTTACCTACTTATTGTTTAACATTCATTGTTTATCATTTTAAACATAACCACAATTCATAACACGAACACTTTCTTGTGAAAATAGCGAACAGCTCTTAGAACACAATCTGACTGAATCCTGCTACAGAGCGGCCATTTTGTTTCAAACTGAGACTCGCACCTTGGGAAGTTTCCTGACATGGCGTCGGCGTCGAGTGCTCTGGAACAATCTGTTGGGATTGTTGGCGTCCCTTATCACAACACTACAAGCTCTGGCGCCCTGCATTGCACTACACACATACTTACACTAATGCAATGCAAGATATATAAGTGTCACTCGCAACTTGATGAGAAAAACATACACCTAGGAGTACCAGTGCGTCATTCAGTGACAATGTTGGGTGCGCAGGACAAACACTCTCCTACTTCACTTCACCAGTTACTAAAAACGAGGCTCTGACGACAGAGTTGTCACAGAACAGCCACTAATGACTCCGGTATGGATGAAATATGACTATCAAAACATACTCTTCACCAGACATTAGATTAATAATATCAAATTGGATTCGATGAACGGAGCATATAGCATACACTGTAAATACAAGAAGTGCATATAAAATTTTAGCTGGAAAACCTGAGAGAAAAATACCAATTCGGAGACCTAGACATAGATGGAAGGACAAACACCCATTAAAGTTCATTTTACACATTATTTTAATAAGCGTACATATCAACATTTTCATTATATTTATTAATAAAATCAAACTAGACTCCCACTGAAATTCTAAATCCCTCACATTCCGAGGCGCGTCACGTTTCACTTTTTTTCTTATAGGTTAAAGTATCTTTTTCAATG